CTCCAAAACATCAGAGCCATCGAGTCATTCCCATGATTTCGATACAAATCACCCGGAAACGACACGATGCCAGACAATTGCTCATCGAATTTCAATTTAAAATCCAAATTTTCATCTTTAATCCCGTGATTTTTCCGATCGCAAGAACTCATGATTTTCTGGTTCACCTGATGAGAATTTGAATTATACATTAATAATTTTCGGTTTAGAAATATAACGGTAATTTAGCATTGACGATATTGGCATCTCTATCTTGTCCCGGAAGAAAGCGAAACCCTGCGGAAATATGTAAAGAGGGCAAAAGGGGAATCCTAATTATTTCATTCAACATGACGTCGTGACTCGCCGAGAAAATCTCCCAGAAATCTTCCACTGACGAAATAATTGAACGTTATTCGGCATAATTGAAGGCCTCGTTTTCAGACCACCATTTCTCCTTTGTTCAAGCAGATTCTGAGAGGAGGAGAGTGACTGGTGAATTTTCTTCATATTCCCGTCGACATTATTCATCCATTTTTTTTATCATCCCCTCAGTGGAAAAGGCCGAAATATAAAGCCCTCGAAATGTAACATCGCGGGTGAATTAATCTCAATCGTGCAGCCTAGGTTCCAGGGGCATCATTTGTCAATGACTCGTTATCCACCGCGGGGTGCGAGAATTCAGATACTCAATTATTCCTCAGTCCAATTGATATGAAGTTAGAAACGGTAGTCTGTGTATGATTGTTGTCGTAACTGCTGCTGAGATCTATTAGTCAAGGTAATCTGATCAGAAGAATCATTTGAAAACATCGAGCTCACGGGGGGTGAATTCCCATCCCCTACAATCAGTGGGTGGTATTTGTATGAATCGTTATCATATTGATTTGGATTACCGATCATTCAATTTCCTCGATCGAAAACATTCAATTATGCAAACTACTGTCTCCTAATTCTCCCGCACTTTTCACTCCATTCACTCCTCCATCATTCGATCACTTATTTAAAAAATTATTTTTTATCAACAATTGTTTTTCATTTGAAGAATTTGACATTTTTCGAATTGAAAATATTGCGTGGACGTATTGAAAATCGACGTACGTATTGGGAACGGCGGGGAATGATAATTAAAAAGAACGAAATAAGTTCAACTATTTTTACACTGAATTTTTTTAGACCAGCATTTAGCCGATATATCGGAATTGAAGGGGTATAACGAATTTTTCGTATAAACATTTTTTGTCAAAAAATATTAGAGCTACAATAAAGGTATTCATGAAAATACCGATATCTTGCTTCAATTTCAAGATACAGACTAAAATGTGTTCTGATAAAAAATCCACTCAACCACTTCGCACCAGAATTCATAAGTGAATCCCTGAAATGAATTTTTTTTCGGCGTTTGAAATCTCCGATCATTAGAAGACATTAAACCAGATGATGTAGAAAACCGAGAGGATATTTAATCATGGAAAATGTCTTATTCCCTTCGACTTATCGACGTCCAAGGAATGCTCGGAATTCGCTGATTGAATCTTCCTGAAGTCCTCCCCTCGATCGAACGTGATTTTCTTTCTCTCTCACTTTTCCTGACCAATGTACACATCAGATCCACAATTCTGATAAATTCTCCAGATATGTTTGATGATATTTTTCCCCGATAGAAGTTCAGAAGTCTCCATAAATCATTTCACTGCAACTTGATTCCTTTTCGAAGACTGGATGGAAAGTTGTAATACGATAGCTCGTGGTATTTCTCTTTTGGTATTCTTGTCTTTTCGTAATTATTCGGGGGGAGAAGCACCGAGGGTACCCCTTTTGCGCTTCGAATGACACCTTTTCATCCTGTTGGATATTTTAACAGTCGTTGTGCATCTCTGGATCGCATTACCGTCCCTTTCTGTTTCTTTGGTTTCTCCCTATCTTGGTTGGGTCCAACTCCGTGGTTATTAGTCCCTCTTGTTAGGGAGGAATTGTATTAATGATGACAAGCAGTCGAGTTTATATCATCTGTTAACGAGTGGAAATACTCCGGACATTTTTCCCGTTATTTTCTGCCAGTTTGATATATTCCTTATTTTCATATTTATTTATTAATTGTAATTATTCGTTTTCTTTCTCTCATTAAACTCGAACTTTTCAACTAGTGGTTAGTTTAATATTTTCTCGACTCGGCAAAAAGTTTAGTAAAAACTCCAGACGGAACAAAAACGAAAACAAATTATTTTTTATTTTTATATACTTTGTATAATATAAAAAAATTAATTTTTATTATACAATAAACTATTTCATTGTTTACGATTCAAATAAATTATGTGTGGAGGAGATGAATGAGTTTTTCGGGGATAGCAAAATTTTCTTGAGGTACTTCAAGTAGATTGAATAGATTCTCTATTTCGATTTCGCAACATAAAAATTTTATTATTTTTATTAAAAATTTTGCAATGATACTTTTGGTGTGGAGCATGTTTGTATGCATGTACTGGCTTCACGCATAACGAATTTATTGGAAAAGCCTGGGACTGGCGTGTGTCGGACGAGCCAACAGAACTCTGGCATCCAACAACGCTCCCTTTGTACTCGCGAAATTACAATTGTTGTCGTCATTATCAGAAACTCGCTATGCCGTTGATGCATTCTATTTGTTCTTTTTTGTTTCATCGGTCCTTTTTTTTTCGAGCCGTGAACACATTGAGTTTAATCAATGTTCCCGCTATATCTGGAGTTGAATATTCATATTTCTTTTTTTATTTTCGTCGGGATGAAAAATAGTTGGGTAAAATCTCAATCGCGACATTTCCAATGGTTTTTCAGGCGTGCAATTATGCTAATACTCGATATTTTATGACGAATAATCTCAGTCCACTTAATTGATTTCTCTGGGTCTCGCTATGATTGGGACAAGTATGATATATTTAAATGCATAAATTATTCCAGAAAATAGTGATTGCGGTGCAGTGGATTTAATGATAATTCGATACAATATGTTTACTATTTTTTATAATCGAGTGGAATTAAAATTCAAATGGCACATCTTCGAGTGACTAATTATTAACCGAGGCCTTGGAGGCCACGTTATAATGAAACCCGTAATGTATTAACACCGGTGTACATATACATGGAGGCAAGTAAACGCGTTTGGATATGTATGTACAGATAACAAGTAAACGTGAATACGCGTACGTCGAGTGAAGGAGAATGAGAACTCTGGGCGAAGGTTTCCACGGCGCCGCGACGCTTCCATGTAATATTCGACTAATTACGAATTTAATAACCCCCCTCTTTCGCCCCCCCCCTTCTTTCACGGTTGTACGGGTTATTGCCCCAACGATGTCTAAGCAAACTGACTCTCTTTGCGGGAAAAGGGTCATACAGAGATGAAACTGAAGTATTCATTTGTATCTTAATCGACTCGAATTACCAATTAACATTCAAATTCAAGGAGGAATTATTCAATTAATGAGAGCTCGGGTTAGTCCGATTTTTATAATGAGATGAGGGGTATGAATAAAGATAATTAAATTAAAAATTTCTGATAGCAATTTCTGATTGGCAGTTTAACATTTTTTCAATTATTTTGATTGTGTTTTTAATTAGAAAATTGATGTAGTAATTGTGGTATTTAATTACGAATTGGTGAACTTTTGGTAATTGTTTCATTGCAGGGAAAGTAATATTTTTATAGTGGAATTACATTTTATGAAATAAAATCTTGACGTATTTCATCGAAACAAAATGGCGAATAACTTTTTATGAAAAACTGATATATTATCAATATTATCTGGATGTGAAGGGGAGTCGAGTGCACGAAAAGTCCATTAAAATAATCAAAACTCTCATTGCAAACGAGAACAAATGGTGTTACACCTCGAAAATATCTTATTGTGAATTTCCCTCACGAAGTGTATTCCAGTGGTTTGAACGACCACCGCGGCCCATCAGTCCCTGACTTATTGCTCGTAGACGTTGTATCTCTCTTTGGCCTCTTTGAAAGCATTTTCTCATTAAAAAATTAAGGCACGAAGAAGCGCGAGAGGGGATGGGGGTGGTGGGATGTAACCGAAGAGGTGGATGAAAGAAGAGGACGAGGGGGTAAAGTTCTCGGGATGTTGAAGTATACAAGGGAGGGTTGGTAAGTGCTCTGCGGCTCCCAGATGCGCCCAATATTATGTTTAATGATATTAACTTCTTACTTAATGGCTCGTGGTTCGATTCGAGGTGTGGAAAAGCCGCGGAAAAAAAAACGCCACGGTTAGAGATAAAGTTTCAGGGGGATGAATATATTTTTCACCGGAATCATTCTGAAATATTCGTGCGAGACAAACAAATTCCCTCCCCATTGATGTTTAATTTTCATTTACGTGGTATACGATCCACTTTCAGTGATAAATGAAAATGCCCTATTTTATCCACCGCAATTATTGCCATGGGGGCTTTACGGGGAAAGAAAGGATTTTTATTGTTACGAGGTTGGGGGCTATTTTTCAGTTCTCCCGTGGGGGGTCACTGCAGTTTTTACCGCCGTGTGCTTTAACTGTAAAAAAGTAAGAGGAAAATATTAACGATTTTCACCACTGGTTGTTGGTTATCTTCCCTGTATCTGCCTCTATCTGTCTGTATCTGCCATCCCCTATTTTTCGTTCAAGTCAAACAATATAAAGGATGGGATTAAAAGTTTTCTGGCTTCGGGCGTCTTGACTTCCTAATGAGCTATCAACCTCCTCAACTACTGGAAGACATCTCCGGGATTTTTAGCTTGATTTTTCATTTTTCGGTGTGAGAATTAGAAAGTTTTCTCATGATAAGTACGATTTTTGTATGTTTGTGCTGAATGTCCGGAGTCAATAATTCGTACGTCTCTTGATCGATTGCACGTGGAAACTGGCGTTTATCGGCCTACGTGTTATCGGTACCACAGCTCGAGTAATTACTTGATTAATACCCATCGGATCTGGGAAATTAATAGGAGAGGGTGAGTGGTAATCGAGGGTTTATGCAAGTTTTGTTTATTTTCTTTTTAGGCTCAGAGAGGAGAGGGGAGATCCTGAGAGAGCACTGGCGCTGGACCACAAACCGAGGGACCTGAGCTCGCACAATGGTAAGTACATAAATAATCAATAATAAATTGCTAATTACATACGTACCAATAGATTAAAATTACTGAAGTTATAATCGAAATTTTTCGTTATCAAAGAAATCCGCAATTAAATCGATTTCACTTTGAAAATTCCCCCAGAAAGTCAAATGAAATTAAAACAATTTTTCTCTTTGAATCGTTTATTCGAACAGGAGTAATTTTTTCTCCCCCCCATAAAACCGTTGCTTCGGTAATTCCTGATGGATGCCACAAAACGAAATGAAAACAATTTAAAAGAAGATTTCAGCTCACGTCAAGAGAATTAAGATAGTGCATAGTGGAATTCAGAGAAGTCCTCACCCCATCGATTGATCGAGATCGAGGACTAAGTCAAGCAGAAAAATCCCATTGGACGTTTTTACTCTTCTCACTTTTTAGCCCCCCTTTCCGGATCCTCAAGTATTGGCCTCTCCTTTGTTCTTCCGTTTCACCATTTATACTCTCGTTTTCGTTGGGGCCTTCTGCCCATTTCACCCACAACCCGAGAGAGACAGAATCAAAATACCCGGAGAATCTTAGATATCGGGTTTCGGAGACCCGGGACGAGAGCCTCGCGGCAATATCCAAAAACCTTTCTCTTTGATTCCACGTAATATTTTAATCCGTCTGGTCGAACCCTTTATCTCCCTCTCGTACATCTCATTCTCTTTTTGTAGGTTAAATCCTTTGTGGAATTATTATTTCACCACAAAGTGTTTTGCTGGTTAATTATTCAATGACAGTCCTAACGCATTCGCACGATTTCATAATTGATATTTCCAAAAAAATATTCACCTCAACGAAATCAATTTTATCATAAATCAATTCCTCACATAAATGACGATAAATACACGATAAACATGAGAATATATTTTTTTTTATTGAATTACATTATTTTGATTGAAGTCTTAATTCCTAGATTTTCGTTTTTTGGAGATTTGTAGTATTGAATTTTTTTTTATTGCGTGGGAAGCTTGGGGAATAGAGAAATTGTGGGACGGGATTTCCTCGGCAAACCAAACAGTATCCATCCACGTCAGGATTAAAATCCTAGGATATCAAATACACTTGAAAAGGGAAAGTACGACTGGTGGTTTAAGAGATGGGAGTGGATAGTTTGGTTTGGCTGTTCTAACATTGGAAATGGTGCGTGTAAATAAGATCCATCAACTTGTCAAACCTCTTTTGCGGTAGTTCCACAATGCAAAACTCGAACTCCAGAGAGAAAGAGAGATAGATAGATAGATAGAGAGAGAGAGACGTAGAAAGTTCCTGTCATTAATTTTTCAAATTGTTTAATTTTGTTGTGTGCACTCCACTTTTCTTCGTGCCGATGAATTGTTCATTACGAATTTTCTAAAAAAATAACAACTACTGAAATTTATTGTTCCAGGTTCCTCGAATGGTCACAGTCCTGTTTTGAATTTGTCAAAAACCGCGGGAAGTGGAAGTGTTGGAGAACAATCTGGCAGTGAGGGTGCGGCGTCGCATCGTTCACAGGACGACGAGGAAGAGGACGACAACCTGTCGGACGACCTCGAGGACGAGAACGAAAAGGACGAAGGTCGGTTATAGAACTCCTAGTTAAATACCTTCGCACAATTAGAATCACCCCCTTTCCCACTCCATTCCGAACTGAGAGAATCCCGATGAGAAAAAAGTGAAAGAATTAAGAGGGCGTTGCTCATTAATTATCACGTACCTCGGACATTGATGAACGACAGTGAAGAGTTATGATGTCGGATTTTTAAATAAAAGAAATGGACTTGGTAATTGGTGAAATTGGATGGGCAATTAACGAATGGAGTCGCAATCTTTTGTATCGATTATTCCGTCACCAGAATTGAAAAGCGCCTCGATTACTCCCCAGCTGATCCTCTCCGAACAGCTCGGGTGGAGTGAAAAAAATAATAATTATATCGCTTGTTGATTTTTTTATTCTTCTCGAATACTGAGGGGTTATGCTCTTCGACGATTGGTGGGTCAGAGCCACTCATCGATCATCCACCGAGAGTCAAGACACTCTGACTCTCGTCTGCTTGAGAGAAGCTGTTCCCTCCAGGGACTATCATGAGGACTTTCAGCATCGAACTTTTCTCATTCGGTGTGAAATAATCAATGGAATAGCATCATCAATTGCACCGGTAGCCGCTCGACAAACCGGTAATAATCGTAGGGCATGGAGTCCGGTCAGAAGACTATTCAAATCGCTCGAAATTTCTCTTTAATTTAAATGAAGCACCTCTGGTGATCTCGAGATCATTAGACCGGCCATCGGTGGGCATTTAGTTTCATTTTAATAATCCAACCGATCACTCCGGGACAAAGTCAGACGTTTCAACGTTTCGCGCCTCTCGAATCTCCAGACTCAGACCAATTAACATTTCAACAATATTAAGTCTCGAGTTTAAACGAGTTCTCCTGCCCCTCCATCAGAATGGTCATTTGGAGTTCGTGTCAAAACAAACTGTTGGGTATCATAAAATGAAAAATATCCGGCAAAAATAAAGGACAGTTTTTTGCATTCATAAATATACGATATATATTTGTCTGGATGAGGTGGGTTTTTGGAAAGAGCGGGATTATGTCTTCCAAGTAGAATGCAACATTTGGGATGAGAAGAAACGTATCGTACTTATATATCGTGTCTCTCAGCGTGTCGTTTTGTACCGGTACATCCTACCTATGGTGATCGAAGTAGAATCCCATCGAATGTCCGTGGGAGTGTACACGCCCATGGAATGCCGTTCTGATTTAATGAGACGCGAAATAACGCGTAAGGGAGTTCATTCCTGACGATCGATTTCTCGGGGTTTTCGGAGAATCTGGGAGTCTCAGGGATTATCGAGATTTGTCATCATCATCACCCTCGTATGACGTACTGTAAACTGTTAAAAATTCCTTGAAATTCCAAAAAAATGGGATTTTTCGGAAAATCGGTTCAATCAGTTAAACCCAATTTTTATCGATATGCATTATAATTCTGTTCAGTAATTTCGTGCACTCTTTCAATTGCAATTGAATTCAAACTTGGAAAAGTAAAAAAATCAGGTGACATTGGGACTGAGAATAGAAAGCAGTATTTTCCAAAATTTGACGTTTTGTTATTGTTAACTCTTCATTTCTAATATATTTTTACTCCACTTTTTAGTAACAATTCCTGATTGCCAGGAGATTCAATAAAATCTTTCCCTCCGTCCAGGGCAATACCACGATTTTTTGAATCCTTTCCCTCGAAAATCAGAGATCCACTGTATTTGTTGTTCGAAGAGTAACGATCTGGTGTTCTCCTCGACGATAATTGTAATGGTTTTAGCGTCAGCGGTGGGCAGATAACGAAAAGTATTGGGAGGGAATATAAGTGTTGTAAAAGCCACACGAGGTGTATCAAAAGGATATGCCGGCATTTGTCTGGGATCGTTTTGTTAAGAAGGCGCGAGCATTAAATTCGAGGAGAGGAGAACTCTTAGTGCTATAATGTACCTACAGCAATAAGTAACCGAATGCCGTTTCGTTGTAGGTGCGCACGCTGATAATTAAAAGACGATACAATAAATACACATATCATTGGCCATAAAGCACAGGGCGGTTTTCTCCTCGCCGTTCTCTCCTCTCTCTTTCCGGGAGGGGGGAGATTTTTTACACATTTTTTTATTTCCATTTGCTTTTTTCACTGACTGCGGTGTGGGCTGAAAGGGTTTCAGGCTTGAGTGGACTCTCTAAGACAAAACGAAAAGAGAACCCACACGGTCATCCTGTCCACTTGCACTAGCCACCCACTGCAATAACCATAAGACATTGTATTTACTTTTAACCCTTTTTTTTCTTGGCTACTACAAATTGACACAGTTCTAGGAGTTATTCCTCCAGGCGTAACTGAAGATGAAAATAAATTAATAGAGTTGTGCGGTGGACGGCTCCTTAACGACTGCCATCTCAAAAAATTCAGCGATCACTTTTCCACCGTAAATTCCGTGTTTTCTGCACTGGAAATTTCAGTATTAATTTCCAGCTACAACTCAACTGAAATCCAGTGCGAATATTTTTATGGGAATTATGCAAATGATAACGGTGACATATGAACGGTAAAGCCATAAATAAGAAATTGGATTGTAGTGTTAACGTTAAATCAAGAAGGAAGGGAGTAAGAAGATGGGGTACAAGGGGCTGGGGGAGGATTACGACTCTCTAACACGCACTCACCATAAACTCTCGGGTAGCTCAAACGATGTTAGCTGGTTTTCAAACCCAACGCCAAATTTATTAATGTCCTGGTCTCCATCGATGTTACCCACCATTACACTAACTTTATTTTTCATTAATGTGAATTCCGCACGATATGCACCTGTTGACATAAATTCACCAATTGTTGATGATTTGGTGAGTAATAATTGTTGGTGTGAATTTCAGATCTGTCGGATGTACCCGAGAATCTTCCATTGCCAGCGCCTGGTTCTGAGAGCCCTCAGGCACTGAATTATTCACAGATTGCCTCAGCAGCGGTTGCAGTATCACAGGGTGGACAGGATCCATCAGTATCGAGTACTGAAACATTACTGAGGAATATTCAGGGCCTACTCAAAGTTGCTGCTGATAATGCACGACAACAGGAGCGGCAGATAAACTACGAGAAAGGTCAGTGGCAGGGCTTTCTTAAGACACTTGAGGGCGCTCTCCACAATTTCATTATCTACCAGCTGTCCCAGAATCACATTAGGAGACATTAATTTTGGTTCTCTCAATTTAGACGACTCCACTTTTTTTTTCTCGTCTTCCGGTATCTTTTGATGTCTCTGTCACTTCTGGTTCGGACAACTTCGGAAGGAAAATTCTTTGGTTGAGAATATTATTCGTAATTGACGACTTGACGTGGGTACAAACGCACAGGAATCGATCGGGTTGTTTTTATTTTAAGCACTCATCAAAATTTGGGACGTACGGGAAGAGAATTTATTTACTGGAAAAAGGTAACTAGTCGATTTGGTGATTTGTCGAGTTTTTCAGAAATATCTCGGAATTCAGGGGAGCTAGTGAAATTTTTGTTCTTATCTTTTATATAGAGCGGAATGAAAGCTACAAAAAAGGTAGAATGCAAAATTATGGTAGGTCCTTAGATTCAGAGATATTTTCTAAAATTTGAACTCAATATTTTATAATCCTTTTCCCTAATTAAATTCAATGTCCCTTCTTTCAATGATTATCACATTTTTGCAATTATCGGAGCTTGAAGTGAGTGTTATCAAAAATATCAAGTCATCAAAACGAGAAAAAAATATTTCTCAATCCGATAATTTTTCTGCCCTTTGTGTGCAGCTCTGAAGACATTTAATCAGAACTTTCATAATCCAACAATGACAAATTTAATGATGAAAGAAATCGTGTACTAGTGAATGAGAAATTAATAATATCAGCTTTACGTACATAAATAGTGGGAAATAATTGAGATTGTTACAAGGTTGATCTTTGAACCGGTGAGCGTTGAAAAAAAAAATCGGGGCGGAGGGTGAATGATTCTTGTATAATACTATAATCATAAGTAGATATATTGCTCCATGAATTATTAATGGAGATTCAATTGACTAATCGAATATTTATCATAAACCAATTAAATTATTCCACTGATCTCGATTTATGAGGAACGATTACTTAATGAAACTATGAAGAATGAAAATTTAATTGACTGGTCGAATCGACCATTAATTGATGACGTGAGAATGAATCATGAGCGTGGGCTTTAAATCTCAACAAAATCTCGGTTATTTAAGTGATTTTTTATCGATAAGAACCTGGAATCTCGATGTAAGCGAATCGATCGATGTATACTCGGATCGATATTGATCTTGCCGGTGCGACTTTTGGTTTTGCACGTCTCTGATCTTGAGATAAGAGCACGAATTTAATTCAATGTATTTTATCTTGTGATGAGAATTTTCTTATTTGAACAATTATTTCTTATCCAGAGTTGTGAGGCAAGATTGATAATGTATTTGAAGAACGAGAGTATTTCCTCATGATATGGGGTTCATGTCTCTCATCATCATTTCGATGATAAATGTTGCCATTTTTAGTCACTAATATTAGCGAAAGACATTTGAACCCAAAATTTTTGTAATAAATTTTATGCGCACATGTTATATCAATAATGTAAGAGAGATTTGATAAATCAGAGTAATGCATGGTACTTCGATGTTCGAAGAACAATTGAAATTAATTATTATGAGTTGAATTAATAAAACACATTGAAAGTATATTCAACCGGTTTTTATACTCGAGCAATTGCAGATGTAGAATTTCCAAAAAGTTGTCAAAAAATCAATATTCGTTAAACCCTTCAGTAGTTTGAACTGAATAAAAATGAAAAATTTATATTTGCCATTGTTCGACTATACAACATCTTGTAACTCAAAATTCATACATCAGACTTCATAATTAATTATACACCATTGATAATCAGCGAATGAGATTCGTTAATTTTCCGGATTAAAACGAGTGAACGAAACTCGATGCAACTAAAATCAACACACCAGCAATGAAAGTCAGGGTAATCCATTAATTCCCTTGGAATGGGGCAATTGTACGTTTCACGATCACTCCTGAAAGTTTTGTCATTTTTTCGTTAACAACCCAATATCCATAAAATCCGGACAATATAAGTGAAAATCCCCGAGTCCTTCTGGGGGCACGTCTGCTTTTTCGTTTAATAAATTCCCCGGTAAATGTAACCTCGGTGACTTTAATTACCCATTAGTCGCCGTACAAAGTGTCATTTTCGAGGACATTAACTAATGCGCGAGATTTGAAATACGGCCATTGGCTCGTGCTGACAGAGTGCGGGGGAAATAATTCGGTACTGCAGCAATTTTTTATATATTCGGGTAGGATATTAACAATTCTCGTACTAAAGACATATTTGTTCAAAATAATTACAGCAAACATCAAATTTGTTCAATGTACACATATATTTTTATTGTTTTTATGGCGATTTAAAAAAACTTTGGGAAATTGAAAACTGAGAAGTTCTTCATTGAAAACTTCAACTATCGAAGTTCAATTAAAAATCCAAATAAATCAACACCTACTTGCTCTCGCAAATATCCCGTAAACCAAATTTTCAATCTATTTTCTAATAATTGCTCTTAAAATATCCATAAAATTTCGCATAAAATTCCAATTCAGTTCAGCAACATAAAATACCATCACTTCCACCCCCATTCCATTTTTTCAGTAGAATTTCATTGAAAATTCCGTTGAATTCCCGTAAGAACTCGGAAATTCACCAGAACTTCACCACTTCTCACTTCTATCTCTCAGTCTTCAATCGCCAATAACTCGAAATCGGTAGAGTATAATCCAGCGATTTTTTTCCACTTGAAAGTTCTTCATTCGAGTTTGGAAAGAAAAAAAAATCATTCGATTTCGCTCGGCGGTTTACGAGGTATCAAAGAAGCTCGCTTTTGCCCAACTCCCACTAATCTTGAAAATGTATTGAAATGGTGTAAAATCCGTGGAAGTGATGGGGCAATTGGAATTGCCGATGAAAGTGTAAGAAAAGAGTGGCACAGGACCTGATTTAATACTCGAGTGAGCCAGCAGCTCGTTTTACACCAGATGGTTTTACATACGGTGGACTATCGTGTTACCCCTAGGTGGAAAAAAAAAAAAATTTCTATCTCATGGTACAGTGTCCCAAGCCAATCGACGCGAGAAGGATTCCACCTTCGAAAGGCGGTTGGAATATTATCGATATTATTCGTCTTTGTCGTCAGACCCCACGTGCGATCATCCAAACCATGACCACCCCAGTAGACCTCAAGCACGAGCCGCTGGAGACCATCACAAAATAGCTCTTTCCACTTGCGATTATCATTTTTTTTAAATCCCCCATTTTGCCGCCTTTTTGTACATGTCATTCATATCGTGTTACCCGTATTATGCACTGGACTCTATCTCGAGAGATGAATTTGAATTTGAGATAGAAAAAATGTCAAAGAATTGTTATACTACAGCCAAACGTCAAAAATGTTGAGAATTTCATTTATTTTTCAATTCATAATCAAATCATTAAATTATTCCATAAATTCAAAAATTAAAAAAATGTCCAAAAATCTACAGAAAAATTGATCATTAACGGCAATATTTGCCATTTTTTCTCTGGAGATAAAAAATCGAGGAATACGAGAGAAAAGATGGAGAAGCGAGTGAGTTGTCTCGTAAGAATTCACCCCTAATTATTCCCTGGTTTCGCCAACAAAATGGCCGGCGAGGATTCCAAGTCCCTGAGTACTTTGTTCTCGTGTAAGTGACCTATCGCGAGTATTTTCTTTTCCCCTGACCATTGGCCACGAACTGGAGTCAACCTGAGAAAACAAAGGCCTCAAAAAAGCCAGAAGGGGTTAGACAATATGAGCCGTATCCCATTTTAACCGCAAGACGGTGGATGGTGGTGGGCGGGGGGTGGCATGAGGGGGATTAAAAAGACGCTATCTCCGATTCTTATTCAAGATAAAGAGAGTAGAAGGCGCGCACAAGCAGAATTGTTGTGTATCACATGAGGATACCAGGGAGGAAGTATATACCACCTTAAGGAGGTCCAGAGAATAAAAGCCAAGGAGTCGATTGAGTTGTTGCCGCTGGTGGAGGATCTTATGTAGATTCCTTGTAGATCGTGCACCCGATTCGATCGCCATCGGGGGGGCTACCTGGTACCCATGGGTTAATTAAAATTGTAGTCTGTGCACACTGCCAGCAGTGGACACGAGATTATTTGCCTTCCTCCTCTCGGGGACCTCTTCTTTATTTATTGAATTTTTTTTTTCTCGATTCATTCGGGCAACCTCCGCACTGTATTATACTCGACGATTTTTCGATCGACCTGGGCGGCTGTTTGTGTTATAAAATCCCATTACCTGGGGTCTTCTTGCTGGGGTTGTTGGAGAAACAGGATGTGAGATTATCCACCACTTGCTGCTTTTACCCAATGTGGCTGGTACTATTAATTCAAGTCATTCCATTCAATCGTCTATTACTTTCTGATAGTTCATCATTTTTTTTTACACGGATCAAAAATCCTTAATGTATAAAAAAAAATTAGCAGAAAAATGTGGGGATTTATTTGGCGAAAGTAATTATTAGTCTCAGTACGCGTCAGGCATGATTTTCGTCAATTAATTATGATAAATTCATGATTACAAATATATAAAATGTATTCACATATTTCATATATTTTTGATAATAATATCTGTAAAAATATAAATTTCCGCGCCAAAACCGTAAATTAAATTTTCGCAAGAATTTTTCGACAATAATTGTATGTTCAATTTAATTAAATCAATTAAATTCCTGCAAAGATCGACAACTCCGCATAAAATTCCACTATTGACAGACCCTTAATGCCCCATATTTTCCCCATCCAATTGAAAATTGAAATAATTGCCACAAGGGACAGCGAGATATACGCGTACATTAATGACGGGTAGGTTGCGAATATAAAGAGATACATCTTTTCCGTCTTTATCCTCCTGCTAGCTCTTCTGTCAGACGGGTGGGTGGATGGGAGGTACATATGGCAAGGGTTAACCATAAATCAATCAAAGAGCATTCGAACAATGCGATGGGTGTAGGTGATGAGGAGAAAT